CAAGTCCTGCCTCGGTGTAGTTCTGAGCATCAGCCTGAAGTTCAACGAGCTGATGCACATAGCGAATGTACATGTCTTCCTTCTGCATGTCCTTCAAGAACTCCATCAGGTGCAGTGTGTCCATGATGTGGAAAATTTCTCCAGTGGCCTCGGTACTGTGCACAGCAACGAGCAGGTCAAGCAGCTCATCAACGGTGGATATGAGGTTCTTCAAGGCCCCAAGCAACTCTTCTTCAGGGTTGTGGGCAAGAGGTTCAAAAAGCTCAATCAGCTCCTGGATGAAGTGTTTCTGCGAGACAGCTTCGGTGAGGTGTTTTGTCTTGAACAGGTTGTCCAAGCAATCAATCATCTCGGTTTGTATAAGAGCCAGGTCTTCACTCAACGTCCATTCGCTGATGATCATCGTTTGCAGCACTTCAATGGCTACACTGCGCAGACCTTCATGAACGCTGAGACAAAGCTCCACAATGGGCGCCACCAGCCCAGGCACATATTGCACTTGGAAGCCACCCATCTTCTCAAGTCCGTACTGGGCCTTGTCTTCAGCGGTAGCTTCCCAGCCAATAGTCTCCCAACTACGTTGCAGCAAATCCGCGCCGTGTTCACGAACATCGCCAGCGATCTTCCACACAGCGCGACGCTTCTGTTCTGGGAATGTTTCCAGCGCAAGCGCATCGCTGCCCACAAGCTTCAGTAGCGCATCAAAGAACGCGCGCCACAGTTCCGTGCTGAAGCTGTCAGCCTCATCAGGAAGAGGAAGAAATGAGTCGGATAGGATGTTGAAGAGTTTCTCTAGTGCACGCATGGTGGCCTTGTGGTGGTAGATGTGCACACTCAGCCAGGAGCTGGGAAAAGCCTCGCAATCGAGAATGGAAATGTACACCTGCAACACCGAAAACAAAAATTCAGCAGTCTCCTCCTTGGGCCACTCTGGGTGTAGGAGTGAGGGTAGACTCGACATTGCTGCAAGGACAGCGGAAATCTCAGCCATAGCCTCGTCAAAAGAAGCCTCAGCGGTTGTAGGTCGTGTATGGAAAGGGTAGCTTGTTGGAAACAACAGAGAGAGCGTCTTCTTGGGTGGCCGAGGAGTGGCTTGTATGGCGCGGTATGATTCAACCAGTTTTGGCATGTACTCGGGAGCTTCCTTTCCAAGTTCGTCCACCTGTGATGCTACGACTGAGCAGCAGAGGCGTACTTGGTCTTTCCACTGGTCGGTGACGGTCTCTACTCTACCCCAGTATGGCGCTAGCCACTGCACTGTGCTTGCTAAGAGCATGCGGCGTACTTCGGGCGGGCGGAAGATTTGAAGATCCGACAGGTGATGGATCAGAACGAGCTTGTAGAGGATGAGCTTGCCGTGTACATCGGAAGAGGATTCAATGAACCCAGCAGTCAGCTTGAAGACTTCTGTAGCAGGCATACATCCTTCTAGCTCCGTGATCCAAGAATGAAGGTTCTGGACTAAAATGGTCTTGGTGCCGATGAGAACAGGCGATTGGTTCTTCATCAGGGATTCGAGTGATGTGAAGAGCACCTTCATTTCTTTGCTGAACTGGGCTCTGTCCTTGATGCCGATACTCTCTTCCTTTGCCTTTTGCCTCTCTCGAGCATTGACCAGGAACTTCATGATTAGTTTGCCAACCTTGAAAGTCGCACGTAATCTCCGGGAACTTTCTGGGTCAGTAGGTTTAGCCAGAAGTCGACCGAGACTTTGCATCAGACATGAAGTGACGAGCGAGTGGAACACCTTAGTCCGAGCGTACTGATCCACAAGGGGCTCGAGGTTAAAGCGGCGGTCATGAACGATTCCTAGGACAATCACAACGGCGTTGAAGACTAGATCCTCATACTCATCACTACCAGCATAGTGGCTCTGGATAGCAAAGAGGGCATCGAAGACCTCGCTCAAAAGCTTGACAATTTCAATCTCTGGGACGAAGTTGAATCGGCGCAGCAACCCTACAAGTTCACCTGGTGGTTGTTCTTGCCACTTTATGAGACCTAGTATTGTCGGGTCCTGGGAGTATTTTGTGCTGCAGAGAAAGGTCTTGACATGAACGGCAGCCATTGGGCCCATGACATGCTCATCCTTCTTCTTAGCGCTCCATGGTAGGCCAAGGTAGGCGCCTTTACCAGCAATCATGCCCGAGGTGTATTCATCGTATTTGTACAGGGTCAAGGCGTGGTCACCGTCGCGGGCAAAGGCGTCCTGGTTCCAGAGTGGCATCCAGCATAGGGCAAATGGGAATCCAGGCGCATCAGCAACACTCATGACTAGGTGTGAACCAGGCACGTCTTGAGGGTCAATGGCAAGCCGGATGGTCGAGTTCCAACCTTCGCCTCGTTGAGCTGCTGTTGTGCGCCAGGCTGTATGGCCTGCGCTGTTGGTTGACGGATAGATGCAGCCTTCAATGCGTTCTCCAGAGCTCTTCCGAACCTCGATAGTGAGCTGCAAGTTGCTCATAGGAGAAGTCTGTCCCAACGGAACAGAGCCAGTCTTTGGGTGAGCCAAAAAGGCGTTTTTCGGAAGGAAGGGCTCGACCAGTGTCAGGTAAATGTCACTACGGGGCTTAGTTGGAGCACCTGAGAAGCCAATCTTCCGACACTGCTTGATGTTGTGAAGCACTGTCGGGACCTTTTGAATGAGCCGCTCGGCATCGGCGTCGACAAAGGCTTTGAGGTGTATGGTGATGCGGCTAATGTGGGGATCACGCGTATACTGTCCACTAGCGCTGGGGTATATCTCAGGGAGTATACTGTCCCAGTCACCACCATCCTCAGAAACGTCCTCACCAGGTGCTGCGGTGCAGAATATGGCAACAGTACGATCTGCCTCAGAGCGTGCCTGCAAGACTTGGTTTACGGGGACGACGCCAACTGCGACTGTCCTTTTTAGCGTCTTCTGATCCCGGGATAGAGCCCTTGCTCGTGTTGTTGCGGTTGCAGCCGATCCGGGACGTGGCTCGGCTGTCTGGGAGCGGTTCTGGTCGAAGCTTTGATTTCGGCGTTCTTCAGACGAGTCAGTTTGTCGTGAGTTGACTGACTCTTTCCGCTTTGATCCACCAAACATGACACTGCGCCTGCCACCCTTGATGCTTCCTTGTTGGGAAGGCTGCACCCCCGATGTCTTGCTCGGAGTCGTTTCCCTGCTTGAGCCGCCCTTGTCGCCAGCTGAGCATGAGCGCAGAGGCTCGTTGGTGGTGAGTCGAAAGACGAGATATAGCGTGGAGCCAGACCCCGCGCCTTCGCCAATGTCCGTCAGACTGAGATCTACAAGCAGTGCGCGCAGCTTGTCGCCAGCCAAAGACACGGCTGTCCCGTCTTTGTTAGTCAGGTCGAACGAGTAGGCCTCTGAGAGGGGTTGCGGTGCAGCACCAGGTGTCTTGAGACACAGATGCATGCATATTTGAGCCGCTCCAGGCACAACGTCGCCCGCGACATGCTTGAGACTAACGAACAAGTGGTGCAGATTGTGCTCATCGAGCTGTGGAGTGGGCCGGCTGTCGAGAAGGCTCATCATTGACTGCAACTTGGTAATCTCAATGGCCGAATCATCGCCTGTCAAGATGCGCCCGCGCTGCGAAGGGCTGCGCACAATGACATCCCCACACAGCATCTTGTTGCCGGCCACTAGGTCCCAGACGGTTTCTTCACGCACCTTTTCCAGTTCCTTTGCAGTGAGCACCTTGTGCAACAGTTGGCGGCGTGCCGTGTCCAGGGTGTTGACAAGCGTGGACATTTTGTCCAGCGAGCCATATTTGCGTGCAAGCAGGAGCTCATGCACCTTTGTTGAATGCCATTCTCGCAGGCACGAGGCGATTTCGTCTACCAAGGGCTCCTGGGCGGATGTGGGCGTCTCGTCGCCAATCTTGAGCATGGGCACGGGCGCGGGGGGTCGTGGGGCGGTTGGGTCTGATATGGGCGACAGGGGGAGGGCCAATTGCTGCAGATGCTCTTCACGGGCAGTCCACTGCGAGTGGGTGCTGCCTGCGCGCTTTCTGTTTGATCGGCGGCTGGAGGGTGGGCGGCCGGCGGTGGCATAGGGCAGCGACGAGACGGCATCGCTCTTTGAGCTTTGGCGGGCATGGGCGGTCGAGGCTTTTGCAAACGGAGAAGTCGTGCGAGTGCTCTCGGTAGGCGTGACGACGCCGTTGGTGTGCTGTGGGTAGATGCTGGCGCGGCGGGCATCGCTTGCAGTGTCTGGGGAGGGTGTGTCTTTGCTGTCACCCAGAACCTCGCGCACCTCGACACAGACACGTGGGAAGATGCCCGAGAAGACGCGCGCTTCGAGCGTCTGGCCCTTTACGCTCGTCAGGCCGGCCAGCAACGAGGGCGGCGCAACCAAGTAACCGCGGTACCAGGCGCCATCTTGCCCACCCTGTTCAATTATGTACAGCTCATCGCCAATTTCGAGGGGCAGGTCGGCGGGCGATGAGGGCTGGAAGGGGTATATGCATATGGCGAACGCGATACGCGGGAGTGGTCTCCAGCTCGGCATGGCACCAGACGTGTCGGGCTATATGGGAGGGGGGAGTCGGCGACAGAGCATCACGAGCAATGGACAGCGGGCTGGTGTCACGGGGGCTCTGGGCGAGAGGGACCTGTTTCTGGAAGCGGATGAGGCGGAGTGGGAGCGGCAGCGGCAGAAAGAGGGTGGTGATACTGGGGGGAGGGGGTGTGTGGTGCGCGCTGCTGGGCTGCAAGATGCCCCTGATGGGATGGGATTGCCGAATTGGAAATCTGGGGATAGTAGACAGGAAGTGCTCTAGTAGCCAAGCAAGAGTTTGGGACAACAAGCGGGGCGCGAGGGACGCGAGGGAAGAGGGCGATCTTGTCTGCGTCGCCTGCGCGTCTCGGAGGGCGTGAGTATGGGCGACGATGAATGGGCAAGCAAAAGTTTCAGAGGCAGCAAAGGACAACGGTGATGGCCTTCACAGCGCCGTTCGGTAGCAGCCGTGCCTGCATGAAGCTCGGAGCACAGTCGTCGTATCAAGGCCAGCATGGCCCCCGGTCCCAAGCCCCGGCCAGGGTGGCTTTGCAACATTATGTACGTACGTACGTACGCATGTATCTATGTATCTACGGACTTGTGTGTATAGTGTTGATGGAATTGCAAGCACCCAACGCGCCGACAGCGGATGTGGTGCCGCAGGTCCGGCGCGGCGGCGGGGTGCTGTGTGCTTGTTTGTATGTATGCATGTATGTACGGACGGACATGTCTACACAAATACATAGTTGCTCTCCAGACAGATATACCAATCCATCCATATATCCCACTCCTCATCCATGGCCATGCTGAGCAGCAGTTGGAAAAAAACGGGGGTGGCGCTGGCTGGCTGGCGCTGCAGCACACTCAGACTGCACAGCGCGCTCACAATGGCTTGGCCTCATTCTGCGCCCTGCCACCTCTCCCAGCAACAGCCTGTGAGTACAATATACTTAGCATCTATCCAACTCTCTCTCCCCTTTCCACCCCCCTCCCCTCCTCGCTCCTGGCTTGGCCTGCCCGCGATCGCTGCACGCGACTCAAGGGCACGCTACACATGTCCACCCTGGCACGGGCCTTTTTGCACTTTCACCTTGGCCCCGCTGCACCGCATCAGCCCTCTCGTCTGCACTAGCCCTAGCAATGTGAAACGGCGTCGGAAACGGTCCCGACAAGTTCCTGGGACAGGCGTGTGTACTCTAGCGGGAGTGTACTGTGCATGTGTAGTATGCACCTCATGTGGCCTTGTGGCTGATGCTGGTCCTGGGGCAACTGCTGCACCCTTTAGCCCATGTGCCATCCCATCCTCATTTAACCTTCTTCAAGATCGACATCCCCTTCGGCCTGTCTCCCTCCCTTTCTGCACCACGCCTGCCCTGCTGTCAGATGCCGTGACCCGCGAGTCAGAGCCCAATTGCCCTCGCCTTTTCTCCCGGGCCTATCATACACCAAGGCTAATGGCTAGTGAAGTAGAGTTGCAATACGCATACGCCTCGCTCCGGCTGCTCTCAACAAGCCACACGTTCTAGAATCCACACCCGCATCACACCTCACAACACCCCCATAGCCTGCACATGTTCCTCGTCCTTCATCTCTCTTATGTATGTATGTATGTATAGATGGCTACACATCTATACTAAACAATCTTGCTCCGCTGAACTCGCGACATAGGTATGCCCATGTTGCACACACACACACACACATATATGCATGCATGCCTCTCCCGTCTTTGAAACTTTCGCAACCTACCTCAAACATCGGAACCTTGCTCTCTTCTGCATCGTCTACGTAATCCACGTTTGTTTCAAAATAGAAATTCTACACTTTGCTTCTCCATCGATTCTTCCTTTTGTAACCAACGGCCGTGCATGCTCCACTTGACATGCGTGACGTACTTAGTCACAGCCACGTCACGTGCTTATAGTCTGTACAGAGAGCACCGTCCGGTGAAGCGACTGAATTACAGGCTGACCACCTTGTTCCCATGAAGCCTCACCAATATTCATCATGGTTAGCTTCATTCCTATCAGCTTAGCCGGGCGCATCCATCAGCCACAGAGTCAGTCATGCTATCCGTACTTGAATGCTTTTTTTGTTTTTCTTCTCCTTTTCCAACTTCAAGGTTTTGACGATTCATTCACCGTAGCCTTTCGTTCCTCCAAGATGTTGTCATACTGCGACCAACAGTATTGGAAGGGGCTAAGACCAAAATGCAGACAGACCTATGATGCGATCTAGACAACAAGCCATAGTGATGCGCATGGTCTGGAACCAAGTTTCACTCCATGACGCGTGACATGCCATGCAGGGCCTGCTAAACCAAGGCCAACCACACCTCACCATCACACATGCACTAGTCGGTCCGTATCATCATGCCGACCAATGTTGCCCTTGTCGATGCAGCCTCGGCCCACTTACACACCCACACATTTCATGTCTCTCCGCATCAAAAGACCTGTTCCGCCTTGTTCTCCGTCTTCTACTTCTCATCATCCTCTTGACTTGAAATTCTGGAACTACGTACACAATTTCCTCCCAACGCCTAGTTCTTCAGACCAACGCCCTTCTTGCCAACAAATGTAACCACCTTTTCGGCATCAAAAATGCCACCACACAGACTCTCCACCTCAAAGAGCCAGATTAACTTCTTGCCAAAGGCGCCCCAGCGGCGCAGCAGCCTGTCACATGTGCCGCGAAACAATAGTCTCGCTGCAGCCTTTCGAACTACCAGATCCATCACACATCCCAAGGTAGATCACGTCCAAGAGGACAAGGAGGAAGAGAAGAAGAGGAAAAAGAAGAAGAAAGAGGGTGCAAGTGTGCTAGCATACCTTTCTCTGTAGAAGGGTGTTAGGTCGCTTTGGCGAGGTATTGATTGGTATGTTGGACGGATGGGTAGCGGGTGGAGAGGATTGTGAAGTTGGTTGGCAAGCGAGGAAAGAAATATGGATGGATCAAGTATATTACATCTGAACCTCGACACCAACACCAAACGCCTGGTAATGACCATATGAACTAGCATGGAAAGAAAGATAGTGCTAGCATCCACCCCACCCAAAGGCATGAGAGCAGCGAGAAGCAATAAAGAAAGAAAATACTTTTTGAATCCCTTACTCTCACACCATCACCATGTGTCACCTCAAGCACCACCACCACCACCACCACATCCACCCCCAATAACCCCCACCCCTCTCCTCAGCGGATCCCCCACCTTCGCAACAGGCGTCTGATCCCTTATCGCCTGCGCCGGAATCCGATACATGACCAGATACTCACCCCAATGCAGCCACTCATCCGACCCATCCCTCGCCACCCCTCTCCCTTTCTTCCTATCACTACTGCTACCACTCCCACCCCCATTTTCCGCCTCAACCCCACCACCCTCCCTCAGCAAATCCGCCGCCCTAAACACCGGGCCCCTCGCAAAATGCGCAGGATCAACACTAACAACCCACGTATCCTCCTGGTACCGCTCCCCGAAATACCGCGCTACGGCTTCGGCGTGCGCGGCGTTGTCGTAGACGCTGATGAAGGGCGAGGAGATGTTGGTTTGCTGGTTGAGGTGGGCGAGGCCGAAGCGGGATAAGGCCGAGGTGTAGTTTACGATTGTGGTTTGGTTTTTGGCGCTGAAGCCGGTGGAGAAGGAGTATCGCGTTTGCGAGGTGCTGCGGTGCACGCGGTAGACGAGTGGGGGGATGGCGGTGGGGGCGGTGGTGTAGGAGATGGAGAGAGGGGAGGAGGAGGAGGGTGTTGTGGATGGGTGGAGGGCTGGTTTGGAAGGGTTAGTGTTGTTGTGGTGTGGAGAGAGATAAGGGGGGAAGTTTATATACCTGCCATGGTGATAATTAACTCAAGAGAGTTTGATGGATGATTACGTGGTATTCTCGCCTTGTGCTTTATCAAGTTTTAAATTCTAAGCCGAAGGGTATTAAACAAGTCCAGGTTGTAAAGGGAAAATAATTATAATAACAAGATCTAAGAGCATTTGCACGGCATGTCTACTCCTATGTTTACAAATCTTCTATCTCATCATAGACCGGTCCAGAGTCACCCTTATATTCTATCTCGCCCCTTCTTCCAGCTTCAACTCTCCTTGCATGTACGGACAAGAAGCGGTCAAAAGTGCCGTTCAAACGGAACAGATGCATCCAAAGCAGATCAATACTTCGTTGGCAATGTTGCCTTCCATTTCCCGAGCGGAGATGCACATTCGTTTCTTTCTCCTGCTCGAGTTGTTGACTTCCCGAGACTCCAACAAAGAGATGGCAATATTCGTACTGTGGGACCATTCTGCAGTGCCGGCCCAGGCTATTGGGAGTGGCTTGAGCCCGTTGGAAAGGATGGCCCGGTGCCGTGACTTGGCTACTTACTTGGTACTTGCGAATAGACCAGTTGGGTCTTATGGATCTTTCCATAGTCTTTTATAAAATTGTACGTTCTATCTTGTTTTGTTCCATCTGCGCAATGCGAGTGTGACTGAGTGACTGGGTAACTGCATGCAGACGGGTAAAATCTCCGCAACATAGATCGTTTGAAGAATGGGAACAGCGGCCGACCGGCGAAAACGGTATCATGTCAAATACGAAAGAGACGAGAAAATTGGATATTGCAGAAGAATGACCAAATTATCGGATGGAAGTGTGTTAGATATCAAGCCGCTCAAATTGTCAAAGGAAGTACATATTCGGAAACCTAGAGATAATAGTAGGCCTGGGCTTCTTGTTTACATGGGTTATGGTGTTACTATGTCGAACTGCAACGATCGCACAGCTGAACAATGAAAGATCCATCTTGCCCCTCAAGCTATGTTAAACTATCAAGGCTTGCTGCCGCTATGTCGTTTCGCGGAACCCATAGAGCCGGGACCGTGCTAACAAACGAGTTGACGCATGCAGCAGGGGGAAAGCAACAGTGGTTCCCCGCAGCATGACCGCAGGCTAAGCACCTCTGACTCATATCAACGGAAGCTAGCTGCCTTCCGAGTAGATTAATGACTGTACTGCTACGAGATATGTTGTAGAAGCCGGCATTCGCGGCAATCTGCTCAGCAATGCGGAAGGAAGGCCGACTGCATGGGAAACGTTGCATGTGATCGTCAGTGTGCTTACCGCCAACTATTCATCACGAAATTAGGATGGGCACAATGTTCCGTAACAATAAAAGTATGATTCTGAATAATCTTCCTGTGAGCAACGGAGTAAAGGTTATCAGCGTGGAAGGTGGGCTATTAGGTCTGATCTAAACCATTCTGGGATTAGCGTCACAATCACTCTTTCGTCGGAAAAGCCCACGACAACGACCACTGCAAGTCTGCAAACGAGCTTTTGAGCGCTCCAACATACCTACCAACTGTACGAAACAACACCCAAGATACCAATTGACAAACCCCCCTTCTAATAACCCACTCAGCGTCCTTCTTCCATCCGCCCTCGCCCTCCCACCAAACCAACCAAACCTTCACTCCCACACGAAACCTCACCACCAACCATCTTAAACGCGCTGAAACCACCCACCTCCCGGGACGCCTGCAAAACAAATACCACCTACCCCTTCCCCAGAAAAAAAGCAACAATGTCATACTTCCGCATAACCCTCATGCGCTCCGGCATCGGCATGCCCGCCAAAACCCAAGGAGTGCTCAAAGCCCTCGGCCTCCGCAAGCGCATGACAACCGTCTACCACCCGGTCTCGCAATCCGTCGCGGGCCAGATCATGCGCATAAAAGAGTTGGTCGACGTCAAGGAGGTGGCGGCGCCGATGAGTAAGGAGCAGATGCGCCAGGCGAGACGGCCGGATCCCGGGTATTATGTTGAGAAGAGGGCGGGGGAGGCAATGGGGGCGTACGAATAGTTGGGTTACAGTGGGATGTAGAGGAATGTGCATATATGGGCGTTTTGCGTTGTTTCTTTCCGGGGGGAATCAGACTATAAGGATTAGTTTGGTGTGTATTATGATGGATGTTTTTTGTCTTTCTTTTAAACTTCCGCTTTTTGCGAGGTTTTTTTATACCCTCCTCTTTTTTAGACTGGAATGTCAATTACAAGAGTTGCATATGTAGATGTGGTATGGAATGGAACAATGATCTAAAATATTCATTTATATCCACGTAGTTGCAGATCTACTTGCATTTATGTCATATGGTGTTGTGTCTAATCGTAGCCTTGAAATGAGCACATAAGAAACAGTCGAAGGATCGTGATATTCAGGCGTATCGACTCAACATGCCATCCATATCGGCAGGCTCGATCGTATTAGGCGAACTTGAGTACGTCCCAGTAATAGTGGTACTCTTTCTCTCAAGGCGCTGGATACCTTGACATGCATGTCACATCACTGAGCACGAACTCACCTGTACATCAAGTGCCAGGGCTGATCATTTACTTACCATAATACCTTTGAAAAGACTTACAAGATGGTCGACCGTCCATCAGTCAAGACATAGCATCAGCGTACAATACCCTATAGATCAGTCCCAGTGCAAAAACCATTGGTATCATACCGTCATCACTTTCGAATAAGAAGAAAAACCGCTCTATAACCAATCTTGCATTAATGATCAAGTTTCTAAAAAAAATACAGCTTTCGAGAGCTACTGACCTTTTGTGTGTCTCGAAGCGCAAACTGCGACTCGGGTGGGTTTATTGCAAGCGGACACCAGCCGTACCCTTCTTCTTGGCCTGGTCGTCAAACGCATTGCCCAAACCACCGCCTCCGCTTCGACTGGAATCGAGCGAACTCTCAGCCATCTTCTTCTTCTCAGCCGCGATTTTCTCGAGATGCTTCTTCGTCTTAGTGTTACCGCTGCCCTTGCCGTGGAACTGGTGACTGAGCTGCTTGAACGCCTCTTTCTGGTTCATTTGACGACCGTGCTCATCGACATACTTGAGCTCAATGTTCGGTGTGTACTCCTTGTTAAAGAGCTCGGCGAGACGACGGCTTTCGACCATGTCAGCGCTGGTGTTGTTCTTGCGGGCCCATTCTTCGCGCTCGCGAGGCGTCATGTTATTCCAGCGGGCGGAATTTCGCTCCCGCTCACGAACAATCTTGCGTTGACGTTCAGCTTCCGCCTCAGCCTTGGCCTTGTCGGCCATGAACTTCTGGCGTTCACGGTATAAGGCATTCTTTTGATCAGCGTCAGATTCGGTGACTAGACCGCGCTGCTTGAGCAGTGCAAGCGTAGCGCCTAGGCCTTGATCAACAGTCTTCTCAGCCTCAAGACCTGTTTCGGTAATTTCCGTGGAAAGAGCACGTGAGACACTGCGGTTCCTTGAGTCCTCCGCTTCAGCTGCTTCAGCGTATGATTGGCCCATCTCTACATCGCCATCTTCGTCAGCAACTGGAATGTCGCCCATTGACTTGGTGCCTTCAGATATGTGGCTTGACTTTCTACGTTTCCGGCGTGCTTCCTCTTCATCGTCACCAGCCGCACCCAGATTTTGAACAAACTCAGTTGTTTCGTCAATGACTAATCCAACGTCTCCGCCTTCGGTAGACTCAAGGACATCGGGTTGGGGGGTGGTAGCTTCTTCACGCAGTTGTCGTGCCAAATCTTCAGGTCGCATCTTCTTGCGCTTTTTGAGAGCCTTTTGACGCTGGGCCGCAAGGTTTGCCTGGAGATCATCATCATCTATGAAAGATTCGTCGAAAACCTTCTTCTTTTTCTGTTGTGGTGCGGTGGCTTCTCCACCATCAACGTCCATGTCGTCGGCGGCGGGCTCCTCTGCAGGTACGGCGAGCATTTCATCCTCATCTTCGACACGCTCCCGCTTAGACTTCTTGCTCTTCTTTTTCTTGGGCTTCTTCATTTTGACCTCCGAAACATCCATGTAGTCGTTTGCAGGCGCATCTTCTTTGAGTATGTCTAGACTGATGGCAACCTTCTTTGGCTTTGCAGCGCCTTCAGCTTCAGCCTGGATGACCTCGACAGTCCGGCCCGTGCCATCTAGTGTGAAAGCCTTGCTCTTCTTGCCGTCGATTTCCTCATCGTACTGCGCCAAAATCGACTTTTGGCCCGACTCATCCATGTCGTTGGGGTCGTAAACGCGCTTTCGCTTCTTCGAATCGAGTCGCTCTTGTAGCCGCTCCTTCTCCCTCAGCGCAACCGCCTCGAGCTCATCCTCGTCTTCGGCATCCACTGCAGTGTCCTTGAGCACCAAAATCTGGTCTTCGTCGTCGAACTCGTCAAGCTCGTGCCCAACTTTGACACCCGCAAGATCTTTATCGGTATACTGCATGGCTTCGAGCGCCTGGCGCTCACGCTCTTCCAGCTCCTTGCGCATCTGTTCCTCCTTGGCAATCTTCTTTTGGCGCTTCTTGCTGGTTTTCAACCAAGCCAAGTCATCGTCAACATCGGCTTCATCCGCCAGTCCCTTACCTTCGAGTTTGGTGAAGCGTGATGCCCTCTCACGTTCTTTCTTGATTGCGGCGGCGCGCTCCTCGCGCCTGATCTTGGCCAATCTTTCCTGTTCGAGTTTCTTCCAATTATCAGAGGCAGCGGCCTGACGCGTATCGATGGTGCTTGCGGGCTCTCCGTCCGAGTCGTCGTCATCTTTGGCAGGCTTGAAATCGAGACCAGAGGGCGCTGCGGGCGCTGCGGAAGCACTTCCACCTGGGAGCGCGGGAAGGCCCATAGACAGGCGAATCTTGTTCGCCTCATCGATGGATAGGTCGACCATGGTGGATGTGGTTGCGGAATGATGGTCGAATAAGTGAGTCGCGTTGCAGAAAAGCAGTATACCCCCAGTCGGATAGGGTCGCAAGCAGGGTACAGAAAAGAAGCAGTATTCCTGATTTTTTCTTTGGAAATAGGCAGCTGCCCGAAGAAGGTGAATGCGCTCCTCTCGATCCACAGGGCAGTGAGAGTTGGGCGTCGGATGGGTGTGGGTAGGCTGCGGGCAACATGGCACCTCCGAAGCAGCAGTTTCGCGCCAAGGCGCTAGCACGGACGGCGCGCCGACGATTTGCCGGATCGCATAAAAAAAAGTTCGTCGGCCTCCAGCTTTGTTCTCTCCACCAACGCCCTGTGTCAGAATCTCCCATCCACCGCCCAGAGGGCTTGCTCTCTGCGGCGGTGTGTATCGGTTGTAGATGCTGACAGCTCGTCCATCATGGAGCCATCTTCTTTCCGGTAGATTGTTTCGGACGACAGGAGCGGAGAACAACTTTGGCAGCTTCCGGCAGCCTGAGCTCACCGCAAGGTTCGAGCTCGGTGTATGGTTGTCTGTCAGGCAGACTGATTCCGTCTCCCTTTTGCTAGGCCGTTGGCCGTTGATGCTTGGGACTAACCCAGTCGGCTACATATTCTCGTGATGCCGAGTATTGCAGCTTTGCTTGTGGCACGATCTTGAGTGAAATTTTGAGCATCCGTCATCTCGATAACTTCGCCCTCGCGCTCTTCGCACGCGACCTCGATTGCATGTTTATAAACAATGGCGTCATAACCAATGCAGTTCGTTGCATGATGCAGAATGCAGAATGCGGAATGGGACGCAATTTCGCGGTTTTGCGACCAGATGCCAAGGGCTTGCTGCTTGCAACTTGAAATGCATGTCTTGGACTCATCCTATGCCTATGTCTTTGAAAATGTACATGTTATACAGCAATTCAGCTACAGAGCCAGTCGAATGCAATACAGACGCTGTGCCAATGTCGTCCATCCATTCCACATGTTTCTCCTTTGTCCAAGATGGCGCATTTCCCCAGTCATGTCGAAACGCCTAGTTTGTCGCTGGGACCTCTCCCCTCGCCAACTTGAGCAGCTCAGCCTCTCTGCGCTCCTTCAATAACCTCTCCCTGACCTGTATCCTGTCTGCTTCACTCCTTTCCTTGAACTCAGCAATCTCCCGCATCTCTGCCAACTCCTGCTCTGTCGGCTTAATCTCCTGCGCACCCGTCTGCGCCACCAGCGCCTCTAAAATCTCACTCTCCATCTGATCCCTTATATTGATCGTATACGTAGGCTTCGAGGTATCAGGAACGAGAGTATTGCGTGCATTCGGTGTGCCAGATGGCGGCGTAGAGTCCGATTGCTGTGCTACGGGTGCATTGGTAGTACCGGCTGCGGGTTGGGTTTTCGAAGCCGTGTAGATGTGGAGGAGCGCTGGGCCGTCTGCGTCGTTGTGCCGTGAAATTTGAATTGGAACGGATGGGTTTCGGTATTTTATTCGGGGTAGCATCTCACGCCAGAATTTCCTGTTCGTAATCTTAGTATGCAGCGTCGCTTTGTCCCAGTCGACTGATCCTATCATCTGGGCCAATTGGAGGATAATTTCGAGCATACCTTGCCCCTCGGTGGCCTCCATAAATCTTCGTGTTGAACTCCATGCTAATCTTGGATACCTCCTTCGGTAATATAAGAGCGCCAGGCCCGCACCTTATCCATAGCAACTGTGAGTAGCACCATCAGCCATCTGTTGCATTTTTCATGCGTTTCAACCTCGCACGTTGGGTTGCGGGCGGCGCTTTCGGAGGTGCTCGTGGCAGAAATAAACATACCTTCTGTAATATTCGTCAGCCCTATTCAATGACCATAATCCGATGGTAAAAGTAGATTGCTCACCTCGCGCAACTTGCGCATGCGACTTAATATGTGTACCATGGTTGCTGTGCTGTGGTGTTGAACTGCAATTGCGGAGATTCGAGAGATTCTTAGTGCACTTCCCCATAGCGCGAATGGCCGCATCTTGGCATCGACAGGTGGGACACGAGCAGCCCCTCTCCACATCATCCAACACGCGAAATCACATCACCGGTTCCATTTTCGAACATCGTCCTCTAGTTTTACGCCATACAATTTTTGTCCAGGCATTCAGGCAATTACAAAGTCCGAATCACATGACGTTGCTCAAGGG